ATTAGATCCAAGGCGGTAGCCTTGAGAATATTGGTTAATACCGAAACCTCCGTGAACCTCTTCATTTTCTACAATACAACTGAAGATTAATTATACTATTGTAAAGTTAATTAATGGCAATCTGATATACCTATCCGGCTCGACTAGTAAATTGAACTTATGATTTATTTATATCTAGATCGAAATTCTAATTAAAAAATACATTTTAATTAGGCATAAGGAATAAAAATGCTTAAAGTAAAATAAATATTATTTGATAATACTTTAAGTATGTATGTCTACTTCAGATTTTTTAAATTTATTGAAGCGAGCTTCTTGTACAGAAAATATGAATCCTTACATAAACTTATATCTATCTCTATTAGTTGAATAGGGAATATGCACGTAACACCAAAGTGGACAAAATATTTTGATTTGTAATTTTTATTGCTAAATAAAGATACCCATACAATTATTTTTGAAATTTATTATAATTTAATAGTGAAATTTAATCATCAAAAATGGGCTTTTTTAAAATTCCCTCGCAAATTTCTAAAACGCAACGCTATTGGTTGAATAAAACGTGACGTCAACCTACACTGTCAAGAGTGTCAACAAGTTGTGTGTATTTGTAATATTTGGTTTCTGGTGATTATTTATTTCATTTTAAGTTAATAACTAATACGTTTTCAATGTTAAATTATTAAATTCCCGTGTAGAAAGACTCAACACAATGACTGAATATACTTTGTCAGGTGCAGTTTTGATATTATTTGGGCACAAAGGAACGGTACAATATTTATAATAAGTTTTTATTGGCTTTCCATGGTAATAAGTTAATTTTTATCACTCACTTTTTTAACTTTCAAAAACTTTGTGAACTTTACTCCATTGTTGACATCGAATTCGTTTGCAAGTGTAATCTGACGTCACGAAAAAAAGCGCGCCAAAATGGACGTGTTCAAATTGCCCCAAAATTATAGTGATTGTAATATATTTTTTTTTTGCTTAACGGTTTATATTTCGGATGTGTTATATTTATTTTTGGTAATGTAAGAACTAGTAGAATCGTTAAAAAAAATAAAAAAGATACATGCATATTCCCTATTACTCGTGCAACTTAAAATAATTTCACATAAAACTATTTTTACTCAAAATACTTCTGAAGAGTCATTACGAAATATCGTAAAAAAAGTAACAGGTGCATGCCACTTGGATGAGCGGTGAACCGATGAGTAACAATTGAATTGACTTTTTAGTGCTATTTTATCAACAAAATGAAAGTGACAGCTTGACGCGCAGACGATGATTGTCATTTTCTATCCTCTCGCATCGTATACTTTTTTCTGTTATTTTATTATTGTAGCGCATATACGATAACATTTGAAAGATAAAAGTATAAATGACAAATATGACTGAGAATGTAATTTATATTTATTGATGTCATCGATTCGAGAAAATATCCATAGATTCATAATTTTAAATTAGAGGCAAGCTGCTGTCTCTGTTTTGTTGCCTTCTCGTTTGGCATAATGATTGTGTTATTCAAATTAACCTCTGTTTGAACTTATGATCGCAGCTCCACCTTTTTATGAGTTCAAAGTCTTTAAGGCTATTATTACATAGTTGTCCAAAAATCACTTTAGCATAACAGGACTACTCATAAATTATTTGTTTTATTTGTGATTACAACGGGCGACAAACTACATATTATTAAATGTTATTTAGATATCGCGCGTATGTCGGACGATGTTCTTTTTTGCTATTTAAAATATATGGATTCTTAAAATTGAATAAGTCCCTCCCGCGTGTGTGAACCTCATGTTCCCTCTGCTCCCTGGAAGCGAGCGCGCTTCGCAACGCGCTCGCCGTCTGTACCATACCTATAATATTTGTAAACGCGAATTAACGTGCGCTCATAACAGGTAAGTATCATGGTCATGGTCATGTCATACCTTTGAATTGGCTGACGTTTTGTTCTGAAGGACAATTCTCGTAATAAAAGTTCGGTCTCAAAATAAAAATTCAGTTCCGATCAACTTTCGATCTCACAACTGTCATAAAAGATATTTTCGTAGTAAAGTATTAAACATCCAACGTTGACTGTAATGTGATTATATCATATTGTAACCGAAAATTGAATCGGTAATCTGCTGGTCTTAGTAATACTTTACTAGTTTACTACGAAAATACCTTTAATCGAAACTGAATTGTGACCGAGCTTTTATTATGTCGCCGACTGATCTAATACTTCTTACACGATTGCATGCATTCTCTATCCCATTAAATGAAGAAGTATTATACTGGTGTAATGAACAAATTTCTATGACCTTAAGCAATCTGACTACAATAGAACATTAATATCCTATCATTGAACCTTTTAAAACAATTCAAGGTGCAACACAGGTAATGGTAGCTCCAATTCCATCGGTACTCTGCTTCCGAGCCCTGTAATCAACATGGTCGAAGATACGCTTCCGTAAATACACTGATAGCAATACAATTGAAGATGCATTTGGCAGGCCTATGGCTCTATTGTTCTCGTATCGTGGATATTCTAACAATGAAACGTAACGTAAGAACTTCGACTTGCTTTTTCTAGTTAGTGTGTTTCATGATCTTGTATTGTCTGATTATATCACTACGTATTGAATTGGGAGAGAAAGTATTAAGAAATAAGTCATAACATAGATTGTTATCGTCGCTTCAAAGCTCATTTAGAGGTAGGTATAGATATTTTGGACCGTTGATAATTCTGATAATCTTTATTTCATTGAATGTTTTTTTAGTAGTATCGTCGGTAAGTAGCGTAAAAATTTCTATCTGCAATTCTTGAGAATAGCAACTGCCAGCGGATGTAATCTTTATCTCATCGTCATCTGTAAGCTTTTAAATGTAATTACAAGTCAGATATCATAATAAGAAAGAAGCTATAATATGTAGCATGTTATATTTATTTATTAACTCTTTGAATCAAGCAAATTTACACACGAAGTAAGTGTTAATTTTGAGTAGAGCAACTAAATGTGTTCAAAGAGGTTTCCGCAAATGCGGAGCACATTTCCTTTTATCGTTTTCCGCTTAAAAACTTATAAACGTATTTACCCTTGAAGGTATACGCAAAGGATACATATGTATCCTTTGCGTATACCTTCAAACCTTCAAGAAAAGAGCGTACCCCTTCCTAAACGGTATGCCCCCTCTTCCATACAAAAACCTACGTGCAAATATTTGTACGTATAAAATTCTACGATCGACGATGACAAGAATTACGACGATCGTTAATAATACGCCATTCCGGATATTTTCTCACATGATTAGTTTTTACTTAATGATTCTTTACTTACTTTACTTTTCCTTTTATTTTTTACAGTCGTCGACTTTGTTTCTGTATATTATTAATATTCTATTCATTATTATACTATATACTAACGGGTACATACATACTGACAATTATACAATTATATGTAGGTATACCTAAGTAAAACAAGAAACGACAACTCTTGCGAAGACAATAGCTGCAGGAAATTACCGATAATCGTCTGCAGTCTTTGTAGTACCGTCGTCATGTCAAAAATGGGTAAGATTATCGTGTCATTCCTTTGTAATAATACTCCGTACCGTACCGTAATTTACACTACCGCACACAGGAATTGCAATCTTATGGCTGCCGATAATATTTCAAAATCGTTTACGTGGTCTGTGTTAAATGAATAAAGAGTCCAAAACAACAAGACTACGTAAACGATTTTGAAATATTATCGAAAACTGAAATATCTTAAATTTCTGACCATATTCAATAGGTATGTAGTTAACCTTACAACAAAATTGTTCAGATTACTAAGTACTATACTTTCCATAAGTAAATGCAACAAAAATTATAATACTCGAAAAACGCCTTGAACTGTCCACAGCTGGAGATATGCCTCTCTTTAGAAAGGAGATTTTGGCCTACTACACTACATTGGCCAGACGGCTTGGTAGGTATAGGATTTGTTTCAAGTTTCTCTTCTCTTAGCAGTGCTGTTGTTCTGCGTAGTTAGCTCTCTTAGTCGGCTCTTACGACACCCATGGCATAAATAGGTGTGGTGATATTGCATATTCTTACTCCGTCACCACACGGACATATGTATACGATAATCATTACACACATATGTATAATGTATAATCATCATTATCATTGACAGCCTTTAATAGTCTACTGCTAGACATAAGCCTCTCCTTAGACTGTATCTCCTTATTTTTTTAGTTGTACGAATGTAGTGAAAAGACTAGTAGAAAGTGTTTCTGTGTCCTTTTGTCTTTTATTCAAAACAAATGAAAACAGGAATTTAGCAGACATGTTAACTGTTCTAACAGTCGGCTGGCCGTTTGAGCCGGATGTTTGAGCCCTCTGGTTCAGGCATCCTCGCAAAAGCATTATTAAATTGTCAATAGTAATGATGGAAAGCCTTACTTCAGCACATATGGTAGGCAGGTTCCACGAGCACCGGCTAAAACGTGTTTAGCAATCACCCCGCCTCAAAATAATTCTGGTGGGAGCACTTAAAGGATGGCAACCCCTTTTGTCTTATGAGTTGCAGGTGTTTATGGACATCACTTATCATGAGGTGACCAGCCCCGTGAGCCCCTATACCATAAAATAAAAAAACTATTGTAATTTTAGACCCGATCGTTGACCCATGGGCGTTTTCAAAATATGAACAAGTTGCCATATTGATTTTTATATGCATACATAATATAATGAAAAAATAAAATAATTATTTTTCAGATCATTTTTATTTGTATATTTTAATAACATACACAATTAATAAGAGTAACTTACAATACAATAACAGTTACATAACTTAATATAGTTGTATAATCTAAGTTTAGTTAAAGTTAGATTTAACAAAATATTATTATGAGTTATGTTAAGTAACAATTACTGTGAGTCATAAATTAAAACTAGACAAGTTCCTTTTTTTTATCTTTTCCGAGAAGGGAGAACCAGATAAAAATGACATTGAAATAAATCCAATATGGCTTCTTTCTTCTTTGAAAACAATTATTCGCTCAGTCATTTTTATCTGCATTCTCTATTCTCCACAGGAGTGAACGAACTCGAGCGACAGAACAAGATCACAAAGCAAATTCTGGAAGCCTTTATACAGAAGAAATTGGGCCTGAGGAATAACAGCTATAGGGCTCCGTCAGTGTTCGAGATCTTGCCAATGCCAGCATTAGTAACCGCGAAGAAGCCTGAGCCAGTCGATGATCCTGAAGAAGAAGTACAAGATCAAGATAATCTAGACAGTAAAGAGAGCCAAGAATATAATGACAGCGAAAGTCTGCAGAGTGTTGAGAGTGAACAGATTAATTCAATATATAACACCGAAGGCATGTATCCTTTCTTATTGTAATTTCCAATTTCTTCACCAATGACTATTTTTCGTCAAAAAGAGAATCGAATATAAACAAAAATTTTTTTCATACACACACACAGTCTTAGATTAGGTTCACCTCAATACAAATTTACAAATAAAATTTTGTTTCGTCTATTTGATTTAGTTCGATTGGATTATAACCATAATAATAACCATCTTGCTGTTTTGTTTCATTAATATTTAGGTACTGTTTAGGCAGTAAATAAACTTAGAATTTTAATGAGTCTCTCTTAGATTTCATACTATCTTTATGTGCATTTAGGTTTTTATTTTCATTTTTCATACACATATTAATTAGAGGTTGAGTAACAGCACCATTGTTTTTCAATGCAGCACTTATGCATAGTAAACAAAAAAAATATTTATAATAATTAATAGTAATATTCATTACTATGTCCCAACATACGTCTTCAATTTGCTATTTAAACATTTTTCAATACGGTAAATAACACGCAATGCGCCTGTAAAGGTGTCAAACAAACGGCGACCCAAATAAAATATTTGAACAAAACGTTATGTCAAAGTTTGAACAAACATTTGTCAGCAATATATTTCACTATTCATATAATTTCTTGCGAAAATTCATCAAGATGAGATCGAAATTTCGAAAGAAACAGTATAATGCAATGGTCATGCTGTGGTCTCTTCAGTGCTAATATTTGTATGCTTCAATATCTCTATTTGCATTGCTCTAGGTGTTTCAATATACAATATGTGTACATGTATAACATGTATTTAAAAAAATATATCTGTGTATTTTTTTTCCTTATTGACCATCCGTGTGCACCGCCTCCGTCCATCCGTGTTGTAGATCCATAGTTAACAGTCTACTTTTGGGTGGTTAGCGATGTGTAATAACCCTGAATATTATTATTTTAATAGTTAATATGTTATACTGTCAGATGCCTTGGTAATCAATCAATCAGCTATCCTATTAATCTGATGGTAGATACTGAAATGGTAAGGACAGCCGTGACGCTTGCAACAGTAGGCCGGTGCAACCTTGCATTATAGCACTTCCGATGTACCCATGATGTAATTTGTGATAGCGTTTTTAACGGTATTTCAATATACGCATTAGATATCACGACAAGGTTCGGAAGACCAGGGATGAATTTCTGTTGCTTGTACTTACCACCTACCTATTTGATCTTTAGTGACTGCACTCACTTTATTTAACGGCAAAGAAACGATTCGATTAGCAAACTCAATCTCAAAATATCTTTATTTCATAAACATTTTAAAAATTGTTTAAAATCGTCTTTTATGTAGACTCTAAAGTCATAGATCACAAAATTATTTTCTAAATCTATTTCTGCTAGCTGAACATATGTACATATTATCTATATATATAAGTAGTATAAATGTTTGAAGTTTTTGAAGCATACACAAACCGTGTACGCTTTAAAAAAATTAAAAAGTTCCGCACCGATTGAGTTCTTTTGGCACGAAACAACCCTCGTGCAAAGATTTGTTTTGATCTTATTTTTTGCGTAGTTTTTGTTACTCACGTCTATTAAACTAAAATGTGCCATAGCAAATCGTGACAGGGTACAGCTAGTTATAGACAAATTGTACCCAAACACAGAACAAATGATCGTGTTCACCACACAATTATTTAGGGAATCGAAACTAATGTTTTTTGACTCGCCGGTAGCGAGGATCATTAAAAGCCCAACAGGCCCGTTAAGTCAAGTTTAACAAGCTTAAAATTTATCCTAGTGGCCTCACCAATCACAGGTCAGGCTTGAGCGTCATGTGATTAGTGTCACAGGACACTCAAGCGTCCCGGGCTTTTTGAACTACTGCAGTCTGAGCCCCATTATTCCAAAGATTATGGTACTTCTTGTTTTTTTTTTTCATTTTCCTTCCCCAACGTATATCTTTCTGGCTCTTGTCTAAAATCGATGACATTAAAAGAGAGAGGTGGTCGTGCAGGCAGCTGGTCATTAAAGGAACTTAAATAAAACCCTTTGCAATGTGAAATATTGCACCAACAACAATCTACATTGAAAAATAGCGTGATGTAAGTTCCTCTCTATTAATATTAAAAGTTATCGAGTTGTAAATTGTTTATAACATAATTGAGAGCTTAAAAGGGCATAATTAAAAACACCAAAAATTTTTTTTTAAATAATAATAATAATGTATTTATTGTTCACAATTAAAGTTTACAAACATAATTTCATGGTTGTTATATTACAGTAATCATCTTTATTTTTAAATGCTTCATAACATCGTGCTTTTCAATAACATTTAACATTTAGAATTCACCTTCACAAGTTCAATGTCTGATGGTGATGTAATAATGTCCCTGGCAACTTGCATCATAATAAAAATTTCAAACACAATAAAAAAACTAAAACTTAGTAAATTTTTATTAAGTTTATTATTTTTATCCTATAATAGGGTAATTGCCCGTGGTTAAAATAAATTATTTAAAATCATTATACGTTATTCTACAAACAAAATTAGTTTATTTTTTATTTTTTTATTGATAAACTAACGTCCTGGTATCATCATATTTCTGTCTATCTAGTCCTATGTGTGTAAACAATACAGCTTCTGGAAGGTTTTTTAATGACCGGTCGCCTACTTGACCGACCTTTGAAATGTTGCTAATCGTTTTCAGATAGGGCAAAAAAGAAGGAAAAGAGGGTATTTCCTTAAATCCTCCCTGGTCTTTCCTCACTTTGAAAAAAAAGGTGAGAGAGGTAGTGTACGTCCCACGTACGTACGGTAGGCAGGGTACGGCTAGAGTCGTGTACTTATTCGTATTCGCTCTGTGATTGAATAGGCTCCTAAAACAGTGTTTTCAATTGATGAACTGAACATTTAAAGTAAATTCGTAGGTATGCGTTTAGCGCATTTTTGCACGTAAAACCTATTAAGACATTTAAATAAATTAACCTTTTAAATTGTCACCCATGCTTAACATTTTTTATATTTAAAAGTAATAAGCCATAACAATAATCAATAATGGGCCTATAAAACATTGTAGGAATGCCGAGTTAGTGAACAAGTTACCTGATGTTTTAATTTTAAGTTTTTTTTTTTTTATATAGATATGCTACTCTAGCAGTAGACACGCAAAAATAAATATTTTAATTTTCAACTTATAAATATCATGTCCCCGAAATCCTCGCTGATCCACTGGTGGCCAGTACGAAGGTTCTGTAAACCTCGCCCATGAAGAGAGCCCACTTAAATGTATACTAGTCACGAGCATATTAATTCTTTGACTAATTAAACCCAGATGTAAGCATCCTGATATCCTACTAACACTTGTGTACAAAGAAAGAGAGAAGAAAACGAAAATGAGTTTGTAATGATATAAAGCATAACGATAAAATGTGTATATCATCATCATAACCAGCTTCTCCCTGCCATGTTTCCAATTTTATTTGTTGTCGGCTCGATTTTTGATATTGGATGAACGGTCTTTGGGTGGACGAAATTGACAAAACAGATTGGATAAGATAGGTATTATAAAGGAGGTTATAAATCTCTGATAGGAAACGGGATCGAGACCGCTCGAAGATGCTCGAGGAAATCTAACGACAACTGACCTAAAGGAAATGCATAATGAACTGTAGGTATTAGACATGACTCCATGATATCTGAAAGAATAATGTATATAACAATTTATAGTGTAATAGTAGTCACTGTATTTCTTCTCTTTAATATTTATGGATAGTTGTAAGTTTTATCTTTTAGTTGTTAGTTTTAACTTTGTCTTTCAAAACAGTTGGTATAGCAACAACGAGTTATGTAAAAAGAAAGTGGCTGTCAAAAAACTGACTTGCCGGTTCGACTTTTACAATGCTGAAACGTCTGTCTTAACTATTATCCCTGCTAATATTATAAATACGAAAGTAACTCTGTCTGTCTATTACACCTCCACGATTTTAATGAAAATTGAAATGGAGATACTTTGATTCTTGAGGTAGGACAGAGGCTACTTTCACCGCAATAACCGACATACAGACAAAACTAGTTAAAAATAAACAAAAAACATATTTAATTCGCGTGTCTCTTTGTTAAGTATGAACATATCTCTGATTATGGGATGGGTGTCCATAGGCGCTGGTAGTCACTTACCATCAGGTAAACCGTTCGTTTGCCTCTCTATACCACAAAAAAAATAAACTCATGTTCGTATCATATTACTTACACACAGGTACAGATAGATATCGAGATTTCAAAACAGATCTACAGTCAACAGCTCTTAAGAAATGTATAAAACTGAAATAAAAGCACTAAAAACTGCCAGCCAATGGTTCGGAGCGGCCTGGTATTTAACCTTACTAGTTCTCCTTGATAAGTTCATTGCTGCATTTAACAACCTGTTTGACTACGTTAGTAAGTTTTGCCCTCAAATTAAATGTAGTGTCTATGAACGCTTAATTACACTTGAAGGAAGTGTATTGTTCCGTTGACAGCAATTGAATTAATTGGTGATTGAATAGAAATGATTTAGGAGAAATATTTAACAGTCTATTTTGTTTTAATCTTTGATTACGCGTCCAAGACTTAGCTTTTTCATGAGCAGATAAATTTGTCATTTATAAAAAAGTTCTTACATTTCGATGTGCGTCTATTTAATGTCTCGCTACTACTTCTAGTTACTGGTTGTCTCTTGGATATTGTCCTAGTTCTACTGTTTTCTCTTTCATAGTTAGGTAAAGAGAGAACAGTAGACCTAGTAACAGTAAAACTATGTACAGTAAAGCTATGTACTCGTATGTAGGGAATGGTAGCTATAAATCAATGTGCTCCAAAACCTTCAATACTAAAATAAACCTCGGTGAAGCCTAAAACTTCAGGAGATACAAAAACAAATATTTCATTTTGTCCGAGTGTCTGAATGTGTGTGTTTGTGTGTGTGTGTGTGTGTGTGTGTGTCTGTGTGTTTGTGACTCACAGTGACTGTAACCTTTTCTTAATTCTGTACACGTTCAGGAATAGAATAAATA